AAAAAAATTCCCAGGTGTAACTTTATGAGATAAGACCTCCTGCACCAAAAGTTTTGCACTAGCTATCACCATTGTGGTGTTCCAAATGTTTTTTTTAAGTCAAATTGAACCGAAAAAGTCAATTTCAGGGAGCCAACGGGGCCCTACGCCCTGTTTCAGCTCGAATTTAGTCTTATCTCAAAAAGTTACACCTGGGAATTTATTTTTATTTTTTTCAGCCGCGGACGTTCTCCCGCTGCATCAGACAGCCGGCGACGTCAGTGCACAGATCGTTATATGGACGTTCAAGGACGAGCCGGCGAAGGTGCAGTAGGCCGCACGTAGACAGGTCTTGGCCCAGATCGGGGAAGTAGAAGCCATCATTGTCTTCGTCCTCAGTGATGGTACAGAATACCTGCAGCTCCTGAAGTAATGAGGCGTGTGCGCTGATCAGGGAGAGCATGGTGGGCTTGTGATCAGTGTCGAGGCTTACGCCCAGCCGCCGAAGTGTGCCATACTCCGAGGGAGGAAAGGTGAGATTTGAACCAAAATAATTCCAAATTCTTAAGCTGCGCAGGGAGGGCATACGCGTTACACAGTTCAGCTGTTGCTCGCTTGGACGATTTATTCCAAGCTCTTCCAGCTGGAGGTCCCCGTTGACGTCCTCCGGACTGACGGAAAGGCTTTGGGGCACCACCTGATTGAAACTTCGTGCCCCAGTACTAAATTCGAGCTTAAACAGGGCGTAGGGCCCCGTTGGCTCCCTGAAATTGACTTTTTCGGTTCAATTCGACTAAAAAAAACCTTTGGAACACCTCAATGGTGATAGCTAGTGCAAAACTTTTGGCGCAGGAGGTCTTATCTCAAAAAGTTACACCTGGGAATTTATTTTTATTTTTTTCAAAATTATCAAGTTTTGGTCATTTTCTAAGGCTTCTAGCTCCTCAGGAAGGGCTCGACCCAACCTTTTAAAAAATAGTATCAGGAAGTATAGTCTTTTACCTATTCAAACCTGCTTCCGAAACTTTTCTAGGATTTTTTTAAAGCAGTTTCCCCAAAATATTTGAGAAAGTCCTAAAAATCCTATTTCTTGCACTTTCGACCCTTTAGACGCCCCGGGGACCAAATCTGAGGGCTGATTTAGAATCCTCGCATCATTTTCTTCCAGAAATAACTGTGACCTGCCTTTTAGAGGCCTCCGGTGCTGAAAAACTGAGATTTTTCAAAATAACTTACATTCTGGTGAAAAAATGACCTGCTTTTGAGTATTCAACATCTTTTAGTAGTTGCAGGATGTCTTCACATCTTTCCACTTCAGGCGAATTCACTTTGAGGTCTTCTTTTTGACTTCTACTTGATTGCTTGAGCATTGGACAGTGCAGATCATAATAGTAGTTAAAGATTCTGATAAATGTGTTATAGGCTTCGTTTGTATCATCTGAGTGTAAAACTTCCTTCCAATCTTCCTTTGATAGGTCTTTTTTCATTTGTTCAAGACTTTAATTGATTAATTCTCCTTTTCATCTTTACTACTTTCAGTGCTTCCTTTTCCTTTATTTCAATGTCAATCTTCAGTATGTTGTGGTCAAAAAATCATTTGTTATCTATTATTTATTTCTTGACTATATACTCCTTGTCACAGTTTGTGATAAAGTTGTCAATGCATGATCCACTTGATCCACTTTGAGTCTCCCTTGTTACTTCATTGAAGATTGTGTAAACTGTATCCAGCTGAGAAGTTTTACCATGTGAAACCATTCGCTCAATTTCCCTGCAATTGTTTCTCAGAAATCGTAATAAACCAAGTGAACTTTAATAAGAATTTGTTGCTTCCTAAATGCAATCACCAATCACCTCCATTTGCAGCCCGATCAGAAATGACAAACAAATTAATGCCACTGTCTCATGTTTATTAAACAAAAATAAAAGGGATTTTATATAGAAAATTCGTGCACTAACATTGTACAATGTCACCTAATCCTCCACAACTTTAGAACATAAGTCGATTAGGAACTGGCCGCAAACGTGGCGTTGTACAACATTAATAGACTGATCGAAACATGTCCCACGTTCGCCCGTAAACTAAGAAACGGCATTAAAGAAAGTTTCATAGCACACCTAATATTCACACCGCCGGTGCTCACGGAGAGTCCCTGGGCTGCAGGGACTCGTGGATGGCGTGGCCGGCGAGGCGCACCTGCAGCTCC